AACAAAGCCTTGAACTTTCGGGAGTAGAGAGGAGAAAAGAAGGAAGCTTTCAGATGAAAGCAGGCTCAGGAAGTGAAGAACAAGAGATCAACAATGGGCAGCAATGGACGAAGATTGCAAATATTGCAAAGGAGAAAGAGATGCCGGGCTTCCTTCCCCAAGTGGGAAGATATTGAAGAGAGGGTGGAAGAGGGAAGGGATTGGCACACAAGAGTTGAGAGGAAAGCAGGAAAAGGAGCTCCTTTTTGCTTTTGCAGCTATTATTTGGGGAGGTGACCGATGGTGGCATCTGTGTCATGGAAGGAAATGCTACATCTAATGTTGGTAGTTTGGGATTATGCCTCCCTCACAGCCCAACTTTTAGCTACACAGAATAAATAAGCTGTTGTTGCTGTTGCACTTCCTTTGTTCCACTGCATCTTATGTTGCGATTGATCGATCACACATGGAACTTTGACTTGATTTGTGGCTTTTAGCACTTGGACTCAACTCCCTAAAACTGAAGAGTGAGGATTGTATTTTCCACAGATGAGAGAAATCATTGCATTCTTCAGAAAATGTTTTCTTTGGGACTTGGTCAATATTGATCCTAATGTACCTGCCTTGGTAATTACTGAAGCTGATGGAGCCTGGTAGATACATTAGCTTTGAAATGAAGGCTTCCCAAAGCCTTTGCAGGAGGACAGCTCAGAGAACAAGAAGTTGGCATCTTGAAAGAACAACAGCTCAGTGTTCATCACCCATGTGGCATTGCAAGCTTTGTACATTGGTCTTGTTGGTCAAAGTACACTACATTTTGATTATTAAAACCAAGCCAAGAGTTAAAATTGTGTGATATTTTTCATCTGATGGGGAGCAGGAATGGCTTCAGCAATGGCTTCTTGTGCTGATGCAACCCATATCATTACATCATATATGCCAACACATGTCATCATTTGTTTAAATCAATAATTGGAATTCAAACAGAACCCACCCCACCCCTCTCTCAAACTTTCTTGGACAGCAGAATGGATCACCAGATAGTGATTGTTATTTGGTGGCCTTGGGCAAGGTGAGTTCTAAGCAGATAAGATCACATATGCAAGCCAAGCACATTGGCTCACTCTGGTTTTAGGATTTGGAGAAGTAGAATGTGTCAGAGCCTTGTTTGCCTATATTAATGCTGCAATTGGGGGGTCTGCAGAGGCAGTGCCATAGGGAAGAGCAAAAACAAGAAGCTAGTGTAAGACAAGGTATTCTCTATTGGAATAAAGCTAGTAAAGTAGGAACAATGGTGCAAAAGAAGCAACCACCAGAAACTAAAGTAGAGTCTAGGCCAAATTAAATAAAGGCTGTGGGAACATGGAGGAACATGGAGTACAGGTACTTTCATTGCATTGGAAGGAACTCCGAAAAACCCTAAATGCTATTACATCAAGAGGGTTTATAACTCTTACCATTTACAAGGACAGAGGAGGTTTCCTAATGCAAGCTCTGTAAGCTTTGAAATGAAAACAGTAGTGAGAGACTGGCATTCCAATAGGTGCATGGAATCATGTGTATTGGGACACTACTTCTGATGCAACTTTGACATCCATGACACACAGTGGGTTCCTTCCATCAGGGTTCAATGCATGAAGCTCTGAAAGCTTAGTGTTCATCACCACATCCTGCATGGCCAAGAGTTAGTGTGAGTTGTCTATGCAATGATGGATGAAATGAAGAAAGCGTATCAAATGTCAAAGATTGGACCATAATACTGACCTCTTCTTGGGCAGTGTTTCCTGAATCTCACAACCTGGAATTCCCTCTTAAAAGTATCTATGAGTTTAAACTAGGCTTCATCACTGAGCTCTCCTTTTCATATGTTGTTGGACTAATAAACTAGCATAGGTTAAATCAAAGCATTTGTCACTCTGGACAGTCATGTTTCAGTGGAGAGAAGTTATCTTGACATCCAGGGAAAGTGTACATGCTCAAATCACTGGTAAAATAAGGCCAAGTTCAAGGAGTTGTTGAGATCTCAATCATACTGGAGCATGATGTTGTACAACACTTGGTTGGCCTGGAGATTTTATGACAATTTTTCATAAATTACTATGATTTTACTATAATTTTCTTGGTTTGACTTCTACTAGTGTTAAAGCACATTATGAATCCATCAATCTGGAGCAGTGAGATACATTAAACTGCCAGCAGGATTTTGGGGGGTTTGGCTGGCAAATAGACAATTCAACAAAATCTATTATCCTCTTTCAGTGAACATGGTAGAATCAAAATATTAATAGAGTAAATGGAAGCTTCATAATTGGCCACCCAACTGACTTAAAGAGCTTTCCATGTGGCACATGTAACATTAAAAACTGGAGCTGGTCCTCAGCCAGTAGGTCAGTCTGGTTGAGAATGAATTAGTGCTGTACTGTAGCTACATCAGAACTCATTACCCTGGAGAGAAGTATCAATTCTTCCTTCAGTTCATCTGTCATTGGCTTCGAGTAGATTACTGCTCTTAGTCCTGTTACAGTTCTGTCACACAGTCACTCTGCTTGAGATCATTTTTCAGACAGCAATAATTGTAGTGCTTATTGAAGAATACAGAGATGCAGGTAGTACTGGTAGTGTCATACTCTCTTTACTTTTTCACCTTTACTTTTGACTGTGATTCTGATTCATCCTTTCAATAGCTCACTTTTGCCTCACCTTTGACCATACATTTATCATTTTATAGTGTCATCCTTGGCACGAAGGTTGAGAAGATTTCATATCATGTCACTCTTCTCACCCACTCTATCTTTGCTGACAGGGATGATGCCATCATTTGGTAGCTAGTTTGATGCATGTTGTATATAAGGACTCAACTTGGGGTGGCAAACCTTGTCTCAGCCTGTTGAACCTCATTCAACCTAACCCACCATAATCTTGCATGCTTAAAGAAAAATGCAATTGATGTCAGGAAAGCCAGACATCAATTTATACTCTTAGTAAGGGGTCGAAGCATTATATTATGGAATCATGACACTGGACAGCACTTGAAGAATGCTATTTCTCATATTGAAAGAATCACAATTTATTCTCTTAGGAAGGGGTTGAAGCATTATATCATGGAATCATGACACTGGACAGCACTTGAAAAATGCTATTTCTTATATTGGAAGCATCACAATTTATACTCTTAATAAGGGGTTGAAGCATTATATCATGGAATCATGACACTGGACAGCACTTGAAAAATGCTATTTCTTATATTGGAAGTATCAAAACATATAACCCAAAAGCTGTTGAAAAGGAAGTTTCAGCAACACAATCTGACAGAAACATTAGATTTCAGTATAGTATTTATATGAATTCAGAAGATTCTAGTGTAGCTTAATCCATATTGATCTGATTGAGTTTGGGACTACAACAGAGGAGTGGAGGTAATAGAAGAAAAAGAAAGTGCAGTTAACTGCAGGAATGTAGTATAGATATGTTCCAAGTCCATTTGCAAATCAGGTTTGTGTTAGCTTTGAAATAATCTGAATCAATCCTTACCCAATCCAGCCCAATGATCTATCTAACTGGGCTGATCTATCCATCTCATTGATGAGAAGCCTTTGGCATGTTCAAATCATACATCCATATGTCCCTCTCTTACACATTAATAAACCTGTCACTATTCCTTTTAGTATTTGAGCTATAGTACATTTGACATGGATATAAAGATACTAGTGTCGCCCCAATCTCAAGAAATCTCTTGGAGAAACACATACAGAGAAAGAAGAAGACAACACCCAATCCATTTTCTTTCTTCTTTCCATCAAATAGAAGGTGGGATTCAGTGATGTAGCTGTCCTCTGTATGATATGTGGTCTCCTGTGCTTGACCTTTCAAGCATAGAAAACAGGAGGTGGACCACATCCTTCACATGGTCTTATGGCATTTGTGATTTGATGTTGGGTGAGCATGACAGTGCCAATTGTGCTTGCAATATCTGATCATTGTTCACCAGTCTTCTTCTCCTTTTATGGTCATCAAGAATGCTCCAACGTCTTCCCTCCAGAAGCTGTGCTGCTCCTACAGTGGAGCCACAACAAATGGTGGCCAATGTGAAGGAGAAGCCAAAAAGGATGCATCATTTCATCATCCTTGACTTAGGCAGGCAGGCAGGCAGGCAACAGAGGCCATAAAACCTATAGCACTGCTCATCTTGCTCCTTATGTTCATCAACATATCAGATTTGATCTGATGGATAGCCATGGCAAAACTGGATGCACAAAATCACAAGCATTCCCTTGAAACCTATTGAGATGAATCATTTGGCATCACTGTGTTAATAGGATGAACAGAATGATGAATCGACCATCGACTGAGATGGGTCTTCGAGGTTGGTAGTACTGCAATTGTGGACTCCAGCAAGGAAGAAAAGATGCATCACTGTTCATCACCTCGAAGGTCTCTCTTTTACTTGTGACATGTTCATGCTGCAGTTCCTCTCATTCCTGTTGTCTTCACTCCATGCAATGCACAGGAGAGCCGAACATGGTTAAGATAACTGAATCAAAGAGCTGTACAACACTAAATTCTTAGAGAGAGAGAGAGAGAGAGGAAATTAGAATGATAACGTTGCCTGAAACAGAGACTCTCAAAAGGATATATATATATATATATATATATATGCACCTGCTTTAAGATTCGTGCCAGTGATCTTGTGTGCACGAATTTTGTCGTGCAGAGGAGCCGAGGGCGGGTCATGAAGTCAGTCCATGGCGTCTTAGATATTTCGCTTTTGAGGGGTCGATGAGGAAATATCGTAAAGCGAGGGATTAATATGAAAACATTCAAAAGCGAAGCGAACAACACTTGCATTATTCTTTATAGTCCAAATATACTTAGAAATTTAGATTTTTATGCATGTACGGAGGACGAGAGTCTTTGATGGAAATGTCGAATAGTACAGGGACTGAAACGAAAAAGCTCCCCCTTTTAAAACCCTGCGCTTTGTTCGCCGTCTCTTTCCAACTTTTTCTTCCGTTTATGGAGAGAGATAGAGAGAGGGGAGAGAGAAAGATAGAGAGCGGAGAGTACGTTTTGGATTTTTGGTTTCGTCCCTCCTCTGCTCTTTCCCCGTTCTGAGGGATTTGGTTTCGTCTAAAAGGGGGAAATCACAAAGACAAGTAATCCATTTTAACCATAGAGAGATGGAGAGAGGAGAGTTGGTTTGGCGTTGAAGGCATCACAAACGCCCGTCTCGGTTACCTCTGGATAAGCCGATTGAAATCTACCTTCCTCTCCTCTGACAAGAAATTTAGATTCTCTTTCTTGGTCCGATTAATTGAAACCCTACCTCGGCCCAGTGGGAATAAAAATCCGATCTTTTTCTTTTTTTTTCTTTTTTTTTGAAGGAAACGTATCTTTTGGTTAATGCCCTGATAAAGATTTGGTGGTGTAAAGAAAAATTTACTGCAACGGATTTGGTGTGAATAAAAGATCGATTTCCGTTCGAGCTTTCCTTCCCCAGACTCCAATCTTGGGTCAAAATTCCATCTTGCAGTAGCTTTTCGATCGAGAACCGCCCATGGCGAGTTCGTCGGGATCGATCGATTACTGGAGGAAGTTCTTCCGAAGTGCGAATTCTGATATCTTCGGAGTGATAGAGCAAGCCGTCGCGGTCGCGGCGTCCGATTACCCCCAGGAATTCAAGAGCAGGAGGGATCAGATCGTGGAGAAGTTCTTCACGGCGCTGCTGCCACGGTGTTTGGGGTGCGATCGCGTGGAGCCGAGAGGAGCCGAGGGGGACGGCAGCGGCAGGAAGGATGGAGAGAAAGAGAGGGGGAGCAAGGTGGATAGCAGCAACGATGGCCCCGAGGAGTTGAATCGGGCCGTGAGTAATAATAGCTACGACGAGGCCGAGGCGCTCACGGAGGAGGTGCAGGAGGAGAGCCAAACTGTAGGAGAGGTTTTGAGGATAAAAGAGATCCTTGAACACAACCATGATGAGGTTTGTCTCATCTTCCAATAAATTTGTCTCCTTTGTTGTGTCGGAGCTTTCCCTGATACTCTCATTGGTTAGATGAACAGTAGCTTGTGCCGTTGACTTGGTTTGATTATATCAATTAGATTTTTGTTGTTGTTGGTGGTGGTTGGGAAAGATTATGGTAATGGCCTACTCTCAGAACAAGATTATGGTAATGTTCTTGTTTGTTTTCAATTGTCATCTTGAAGATTAAAATCATTGCTGCTGCTTTGCAGTCAGACAGCCTCTTGTATGAATTGTTGAGGCGGCTGCAGTCGATGCAGCTTTCAGTCGAAGTCCTCAAGGTATGAATTCAATATTCATTATTTGATTTTCTTTTTTTTTTGTTCATGTCATGATGCACCATCTTGTTGCTGAGAGGCAATGCCTTCAAGATTGCTTCTGCTGTTCTTATTTATGATATCTTTCGAGTCTCAGGCAACTGAAATTGGAAAGGCTGTCAATGGTCTGCGGAAGCATAACTTGAAGCAAATTCGCCACCTTGTGAGGGCTCTCATAGAGTAAGATCCTTTTACTTCTTTAGAAATATTTAGAAATGACAAACTAAAGTGGTGTAGAAGTTTTTCATGTAGATATTAGTTTCCTGAAGTATAATTTGTTTCATACATATCAGTGATTTTATAATACTTGTGATAAATTGCTTACTTGCCCTCAGAACTGAAGAAATGACTACTCTGATGACTACTGTTAATTCATTATGTTTACTTCAATCTCTCATGTTTACGTGCGATACCTGTAGAAACAAAATCCCAGGATCCATCTATTATTCATATCCTGCCAGTGTCGAAGACCATTTCTGACTAACCTGAAATCAGGAAATGTTTTTGTATGGTTCCATTTTGACACTGTGCTGCACATAGTTTTTCTGAATCTTCTCAGCTTCTGACTGCTCATGGACAGAGGAGATGATACATAAGGATGTTTTCCATATAGTTTAGAGATGCATATCAACTTTTGAAGACATGCCTAATACTGTTTGAATCACTGCTTGAATTGCAGTGGTTGGAAGGTTTTAGTTGATGAATGGGTCAATGCAACAGCTGCCATTGCCGGTAAAGGTTTTTCCTTGCCTCTTGTCTGAAATTGGTCGATTTTATAAGATCTCTGATGGGTGACTGAAATAAATTCACAGATAGCTCTCCAGACTCCTTAAATCCTTGTATGGTGGATGAGGAAGGAGGTATTCCTTGTCCTTCATTAGATGAGGGAGTTTTTCTTGCTGCTCAAACTACTTCCATCCAGAACTCTAAGGTTTGAGACATAATTTTATTGAGCATTCCCGCTTAACTTTTTGCAAATTCACTGATTCGGCATTGTTTTGTGTGCATTCCTGCTGTTTATTTGTGAAGTTCTTTGACGGTATGGATGAGGATGGAAGTGAGTAGCTGGCTTTCCTACCGCTCGGTTAACATGTCCGTGGTCTATTCTGTTATAAATAATCATTATGATCTTTCCGCTGGATTTTGTTGTAGATTATACAAATAATGGGCACGAGCAATTGAGGAAACTGCAACCTCGACTGCAGCCTGTTGTTCCAGAAGAGAAGGGAGAGATGAGGAGGCAAGAACTTAGGAAGCCGCTTGTCCTGGAAGAGAAAAAACAGATGAGGAGGCAAGAACAGCAGTCAGCAAGTCAAGTAGCGAAAGGGAATATGGGGAGAGAAGAGCCAATCATGAGGCGAACAAAGCCACAGGAGCTCTGTGTTGTGCAAGAAAAGCCTCAAGTCATGATCAACAGGCAAAACAACCGTGTAATTCCTGACTCTGGCCCGGGCAGATCATCAACGTTGTCCTCTGAGCAGAAGAATGGCAATGAGACGAATCACAGTAAGCAGCAAGAAGTTGCTGCCCTTCAGAGGAAGCCACGAATCATCCTTCAGGATGTAAGTTTAACAAGATGTTAAAACATCTGAGACATGGTAGACAGGCTGATTTCTGTGTCTTAATCTACAGAAATCAAAGTACTCTGAAGAAGCTTCGGTACGGGCTAAGCTAGAAGTTTCAAAGAGGAAGCTTCATGAAGGTTATCAGCAAGCAGACAATGGTATGATAATTTTTTTCTGAAAATTCTAGTCCATTTTATTGGCCTTTTTTGTGTGTATATTTAGTGGCTTATTTGTCGTTAACACGATGCAGCTAAAAGGCAGCGGACGATACAAGTAATGGAGTTGCAAGACATTCCAAGGCAAGCACATAACAGTGGGCAGTCAGTGATGAAATCCAGAAACCTCATTAGGAGTTCAGCAAATAGTAGGCACCAGTTCAGTTAACTTTCAGATAGAATAACTTTCTGGTTGCTTTAGACCTTCCTTTTTCTTTAGTGGAAGCCAAGTTGCGGATTGTATTTATCGGAAGAGTTCCGTGAAAAGACTAAACAAAAAAAAAGGGAAAAAGAAATTGACAAAAGGAGAGGGAGTTCTTGTAGCATAGACTTCAAACATATTAATCATACAGTTCGTTCGATAAAGGGGACAGTGAGAAGTTCAAAAAAAAAAAGAAAGAAGAAAAGAAACAGAACCCTAAGGAAGAAGTCCAATTTTGTCAAAGATACTTTAGGTTTTCCATTAGAATACATCTGCCTGGTTTCTCTCTTATGTAAAAGAAGCAGCAGTGTCTTTGCTTATTGGTTCTGTTGATGTTTTGAAGGTTAAGAATTCCTTTTGTCACAGAGGAACAAGGACAATTGAATTCTTATTATTGGTCAGCTTGTTGAGTAAGCATTCCTTTTATTTGAGAACCGAAAGATACGAGGGTGACTAGGTCTCCTTATTTGGATTTTGATTTCTTTCTTCTGGCCAATCTGTGTTAGATTTGATAAAAAGGCTTCATTCAGGGTGGAGTTCCTGCTTTTAATACTGTCTATCTATCACAATGATTATATCATGCATGCCATTCCTTGATTTCAAGCTAATTGCTTAAGAGACAAGAAAAGACTCATTTTGTTCATTGTACCTGTGAGAGAAATCTTTTGGAATAAAGAGGAGGAAGTGCATGAAACTTGTAGTACCGGAAAGATCTTTACAGAGATTATTGGAAAGGAAGAATGCTCATCAATTCATAAATTGTAGGTGAGAAATCTTTTGAAGGAAACTGTAAAACTAATCATTGTTCTAAGACTGAAAACTGTACTTGAGAAATCTTCGCAAGTGCGGTGGGGCACTGCTTTCTGCATTTATTCCATCATTTTGACAGCTTTAGCAGTCTTTTTGTCACCGGCCTCGGTGGGACCCTTTTTTGTTCCATACTTTTTTTGGCCCCGAAAGTTAAAAGTGAAACTTTCGGCCTCGGTGAACATCTACTCATCACATGCATCCTTTCTAAAAGCTTTATACGTCTCTCAGAGCTGCCAACACTTTCCAGCTGTCTGTCTATATGATTTAATATTGCGATTAGAAGCTTATTTTTAATTTGATAAAAAAAATTAATATTTTATGGATGTATTATTAACAAAAGATGTGAGATAATTAATATTAATGATATAAGAATATATGTGTAGCGAATATTTTATTTTTTAATCTAACGAAGAGTATTGGTTTTCACGTAACTTAATGACTGACAACGTATCCATGTAATTAACCATACTGAAAGGACGACGGTCTGACTCTTTTTCATACATTATGCATATATAAAACAATAGGCCATATCACAGCAGCAGCTTAAGATAGATTACCTACTACAAATGCAGAGTAACATAGAAATGCAAACAGTATAGGAAATAACCTACAACTACTCGCGCAGATTACCACAGAATGGCTTACGAGAGCAACTTCTTTATCCAGCAACTCAGATCTCCTGGGCTGCTTCTTCTTCCTCCTCCTCCTCGTATTCGTCTTCCTCATCAGCAGTGGCGTCCTGATACTGCTGGTACTCCGAGACTAGGTCATTCATGTTGCTCTCGGCCTCGGTGAACTCCATCTCGTCCATACCCTCCCCAGTGTACCAGTGCAAGAAAGCCTTCCTCCTAAACATGGCAGTGAACTGCTCGCTCACCCTCCTGAACATCTCCTGGATTGAGGTCGAATTGCCGATGAAGGTGGACGCCATAGAGAGGCCCCTAGGTGGTATGTCACAGACACTAGACTTCACATTGTTGGGAATCCACTCCACAAAGTAGGATGAGTTCTTGTTCTGGACGTTGATCATCTGCTCGTCGACTTCTTTGGTGCTCATCTTGCCTCTGAACATAGCGGAGGCTGTGAGATACCGACCGTGGCGCGGATCTGCAGCACACATCATGTTCTTAGAATCCCACATTTGTTGAGTGAGCTCGGGGACGGTCAGGGCACGGTACTGCTGTGATCCGCGAGAAGTCAAGGGTGCAAAACCGACCATAAAGAAGTGGAGGCGAGGGAAGGGGATCAGATTCACAGCCAGCTTTCGGAGGTCAGAGTTCAATTGCCCAGGGAACCGAAGGCAACATGTGACGCCACTCATGGTTGCCGATATCAAGTGGTTTAGGTCTCCGACTGATGACAGCAAACAAAAATTAATTTTTCAAGTGTCATTTTAGCCCAAAAGTAAATATATCATATAAAGGCAATGCATTATAGTCAACATAGCAAACATAGAAAAAGTCCATACACAATAAGGATCGTCAGAGGAATTGGTGTTCAACACATAAATTACAAAATCAACCTATAAAAAAAATTTTAAACTGAGTGTAACAAAGTAACATCAAGTTTACAAGGTTATCAGGAGCTACTTCTTTCTTTTCCATTTGATTCAAGTTGCTAAAGAACATATGGGAAATCCAATACTTTTAGTATACTTGCCGAAGCTCAAGCCGACATCACATGTAGCAGATGATGCCATGTAAAGACTGGCACCAATCAGAAGAAGGAACAAGTTAGACGATCCATGATTGATGTGACACTCTGTACATTACCTATTAATTTTTCCAAGAATCTGGAAAATATTGTTAACTTATGTCCTCAGGCAACTTTAGCAAACAAGGATTACTCTACTTTCTAGTCATCTATAACAATCAAGGAAATCTGATGCAAATAAAAACTATGACTCAGATGATTAATGCCTGTCAAAAGGCAACTGATTTGACTCAATAGATAGGTCTAATTAGTTTCTTATAACCTACCTAAAGTATCTCTGCATTTAGTTTTATGCAACAGAGCTGAAAAATAGGGTCCCTTCAGCAAATACCAAGGCAAGAGGACAGAAGGAAAAAAGTAATGCCATGATAACTTATTTTGAAAATCACAAGTCCAAGAAGATCTTCCTCGAAGTGGAAAACGTGAAACTAGAACTTTGTTCAAACATCAATAGATGGGACCCCTAAACATCTAATGTTTATTGCAAAAGAAGAGGCATTAACTTTTGTTTCTCATCGAGTGCTGCGGCGGGGCACTCGATACTGATTTTGATCCCACCACCCAACTAACCATATGAAACAATACTGATTTTGATCAATATATTATATCCTGTGTCATTGTCTCAAGACATAACCATCAGATGTTCTGTCATTATCAAGAAAATGAATCACATTAAGAAGTGCCATGATTATGAAGAAAATGAATCCAATTAAGCTCACATAAATAGTGTCACCGACAATGGTATCTTGTTTCCCAATAATAAAACTGATAATAATTAAATGGTCTGACTTACAGCTGGGAGTGGTTAGCTTGAGAGTACGGAAGCAGATATCATAAAGTGCCTCATTGTCCAGCACCATGCATTCATCCGCATTCTCAACTAACTGGTGGACAGAAAGTGTTGCATTGTAGGGTTCCACAACTGTGTCAGAAACCTTGGGGGAAGGGAAAACAGAGAAGGTGAGCATCATCCGATCCGGGTACTCCTCCCTGATCTTTGATATTAAAAGTGTTCCCATTCCGGAGCCAGTTCCTCCACCAAGAGAGTGGCACACTTGGAATCCTGAAAACAAAATTGCAAATATGAGAAATGCTATGCAAAGGGTCTTTTAAGTGATAATACGTTAAATAAACAAGCCTGTGACAATTAAAACATAATGAAAATATCAGATTAGTATTAAAATAACAAAAAAATTCTGGAGATTAAATGCATTTCTATGATGAAAGAGAAGCTCAAGGTGATCAAAGTGCTGAGTTCGCTCTGAACTTTGTCTAGAATAATAATTCTAACCAAAATCATGACGAGCAACAATATCAGATTTTTTGGGGCCAAAGTAAGGCAGATCAGACATTAAAAATGAAAAGTAAGGGATTTGAGATGTCCCGTGACGGTACATAAATAAAAGAGAAGGTAACTATACCCTGAAGGCAGTCACAGTTCTCGGCCTCCTTCCTCACCACATCAAGAACAGAGTCAATGAGCTCGGCTCCCTCAGTGTAGTGACCCTTCGCCCAGTTGTTTCCAGCTCCAGACTGACCAAAGACAAAGTTATCAGGGCGGAAGATCTGGCCATATGGCCCAGTTCGAATGCTGTCCATGGTGCCAGGCTCCAGATCCATCAGCACCGCCCTGGGAACAAACCTCCCGCAAGAGGCCTCATTGTAGTACACATTTATGCGTTCCAATTGGAGATCTGACGACCCAGTGTACCTCCCAGTGGGATCTATCCCATGCTCATCACACACAACTTCCCAGAACTTTGATCCGATCTGGTTGCCGCACTGACCGCCCTGGACGTGGAGGATTTCTCTCATTTTTCCCTATATCAAAAACAAGGATGTAAAATTAGGTCTGACGGTGCATATAACTTACATCCTATGCTTCCGTTACGAAAACACAACCCATGGCATTCCTAAAAATGCGACCTGGAACCTCACCACGATGGCGAAGTCTACAACGGATCCGGAGGAACTCCAGCAAACAAACCGAAAAAAACGAGAACACAGATCCGTAGCATCCCAAAGATCAGATCAATCAGAATCAGTGTCGAACACCCATCTACACGAGATGATCCACGACGACTGTGATGTCATGCAGTAACTCAAACCCATTCCATTAACGAATCAAAGAACGATCTCACGGAAACGAACGTAAAACAAGAAATGCACTCAAATTTAGAGACGGAGAAGGCAGATCAACCAAATTTCTGGTTTCTCAGGATCGGAACGAAGCGTTCACCACAACGATCGCAAGATCCGTCGGAAAATGAACTCGATACAGCAAGATCTAAGAATCGATCGCGAAATGGAGGGCTTACCGGCGAGAACGAGGAGATCGGGGTGCTTCAAACGGTGTACACAGAGAGCGGAGGAGGAGGGGACGGCTTTGACGCGCTCCGGAAGAGGCGGAACCCTCGAGGTGTATATATAGGTGATGGGGAAGGAATCCGATGGCCACAGTCCCTTCCCTTTCCTTCTCATTTACCGCCTTCGGATGCCGTACGATGGGTGAATCGGACGGTCCCTATAGTCGGTCTCAGGTAGGGACCAAATGTTTTGAAATTTAAATCCCTAAATGACAATAATGCCCTTACAAGCAATCCAAAATAGCCGGTCTATCCTCCGTTAATTCCGGGGTAACTCCGTGATTACGTGGCAGTCCCGCTGCAGCGTCGTCTCGTCTCGACAGGCATCGGCTTGATCTGGAGCCGTGGATTTGAAGTTGAACGGTCTAGATGCATTGTTTCCTTCAATACATGTGAAAGATTATTGGCCTAATTAAGTGACTAATTGGACGAGATTAATAGTGTGGCTGATGGTAAGCTTGGTTTTATATATACATATATATATATATATATGATATTATATTTTGCTCATATAAATTTGCCTTGGAAAACAGTAAAAACTACAGAAGAGCTGAAGCAAACAAAGTAGTGTTGGCTAGAATGATGTTTTCTCGCGTGGTGGGCTTATCCAATCAACTGTTCTTGCTTCTACCTTTTTCTCCTTTTATCTTTTTTTTGGTTTAAGCTTTCACTTTAAGGATCATGACATCTTGCTTGTAGCCAATTGCTGTGGACTCATTAACTATCCAAGGACAACTGTAGCAGATCTATGTAGCTCAGCATTCAAATGTGGAGTGCTCGATGAGCTTTCACTGCGGTGAAAGTTTTGATTCCAGATGTCAATGGAACTTTGTGTTCTACCTTCACCTTCACACAAAAGCTTGGTGAGAGGAGGAGAGTTTGGTCCCTCATGGAGACGTTTCTTCACTCTTCGGCTGTGATAGCAGTGACCCTTTGAAGAGGGTGGTACCATGGAAGAAGACAAACAAACAGCAGCCAAGTCTTTGTCAGCAGTCTCACAGGAGAGGAGACATGGCACCCATGTGGTCTGCCTCTCACCCCACCCTGCTCTCTCATTGTTTTCTTCGGTCCAGCTCTGGATCTTTACTGCTGTTGTTTATCCATTAGCTGCTGACATTGAATAATGCAGCCATGGTTGATATGTCAAGTGGATAGAGAAAGCTGAGGGGAGTTGGCTGTTGGATCACCTTCAGATCTTTGCGTGGTTTAGAATTTAAGCATATTGATGACTTCATTTGGCAATCATGCACTGCTGAGACTTCTGTTCCTGCAGTTTTGTCAAAGCAGTGCCATGTCACAAGCTTGCATGAATGAGGGGTGGGAAAGGATTTAAATTTCCAGATAGCTGTAACATGTTTGACTTGTTGCAGTAGAGGATTTAACTATCAGACTTCTATTCCTTTCCTACTGTGCCTACTGACCAATGTTTTCAGTGACTTTTTTGGATACCCCAAATTGTGATGCATTCAACTTGTATTTATGGGGTGAACAATTGATACAATAGCAGTGTAACACATGGAATCATAGGCTACAGGTTGTCTTAGGTCTGTATCCAAAGAATTTGCATGTGATGTGATGCTTGTAGCTTTCAATCTCACTGAAGAGACAAGTGATCAAGTGGAGACATTACTTGTATTTTTGAGCCCAAGAATGAGAATCGGTCAGTGGTAGGTAGACAGAGCAAGTAGTCTTCTCCTATATACTATTTGAGGTACACAACCATCTACCATGCATCCTTCATGAACTTTAGAATCAAATCTTAATACCATTCATCAATGGATTTTGCTGAGCATCGACTTGTGTCTTCACCTGATAGCTTGACTACTCGGTAATGTCCAGGACAATAGATCATCATATTTTGCAGGGCAGCATGTTCCTGACCTTGGTTTGCCAAACCTTGGATGCCTTTGTAATGCCATCACAAATTCTCTGGAAAACCTTTATATCTGCAGAACAATTAGTAGTTCCATTCTTGCAATACTTGTCACTGGTGAGGGAAGTCTCACCTTGAAGGTTGGCCATCTTAATCTCACTATCACCACTGGGCAATTTGTAGCCAATATTACTTTACGGTAATTTTCATAGATATTTCTGTTTGGACTTCAACTTAGATGGCATCACAGATGTAATGTCATTTGGCATTGCTGTAATACAATGATGGCCATATATTTATGAATGTAGATTCTGCAACAATGAGAAGATACGACTGTCGGCAAACAAAATCCAGATAATGTACTGGTAGTGCTTTTGAAGGGGACATCATAACTAAGCTTCCCTCTTCATGTCTAATTAAGCATCATCATGACAAAGCTACTCCAGCTATGGCACTTTCATCCACATCGAGGCTGGTCCTGCCACAAATCTCTATCATCACGGCATCATAGCAAGGAAGATTAATTGCTAAAGAGAATTAGATCTTTTCTTTCTATTGCAGATGCACTAGAGAATGCATTTTCTTTGAGGTAAAAGAAGATCCAATAGTTGAAATGTCCAGTGTCCCCTTCTTTGGTGGGACTGCATTGTACAGTCGTGCATCATGATCAGTAGGAAGAGGGATTATTGATTAAAGACAAAGAACAATAGAAAGCATATGGATTGATTGTTTCCAATAATTGATGACTGGAGTTTTGCTTAGGCATTCATGATGAGTGTTGTAATGTTGGCAGTGTAAGCTCATGAACAAGGAGTTCCTTGTCTGATCCCTGGCATAATCATGTGAAATTTATTCTCATCCTCATTGAAGTCTGATTAGGTTGCACAGTGACATCCTTTGATTCTGCTGTCAAACTTTTATGAATTCAAGAAATGAGTGGGTGAGAAATAAATTAAATAGTGATGCTACTTTTGACACCTCAAAACTCAGAGCTACTCCCATGTTTGAGTTGGCTGGGAGTTGTGTAGTCAACATGAGTATAGTAGGCATAATCACCTCACAATTGTCAGTCATTTCTTTACTCATGAGGACTTGAAGATTATTGACACAAAGTAGAAATACTTTCAACTTTGAAGTTTTGGGATTCAACAAGAAACTGAGGAGGTAATTGCCACTATAAGAAAACAGCTTATGGTCTAATTAGATAGGTCATCAAGTCCCTTTTCCATCTTTTCCTCTTGTCCTTTGTTCAGTAACATGCCTAGTGCCTTGGAAAAGAAGCAATGTTCCAAGCATAGTTGGAAGAAAAACTTGCATGAGTTGCTACATGGCAATGCTTACAGATTCAGCAATATTCTTTGAGGTGTACAGTGTTCAATATTCTACAGGAGGTTGTCTCTGGAAGATTACATGTTTGTTTAAATCTCTTACTCTTTTCGTTCATGTCTGGTTCACAGGTGACTGCCATGTATTTGATGTGAGTTTGGGCAGTAGGAGATTTAGGGTTGAATAATAGGATGGTGGAACTTTTTGAGTGTTGACAACCTGCATGAATGCAATTGTTGTAATCATGGATAATGACCCATGTAAGGTGTGGTTACAGGAACTATTACTGATTCATCTCCTTGCACAGCAGAATCCTGCTCACATAGCTGATACATGTCTTGCACAGCAGGAGCTTTCAGAAAACTTTAACCTAATTAAATGTCCAGATTAATCTGCTTTAAATATGGAGATGTAAAGGCACTATCAAATCTTGTCAAATGATTCAAAATAGAACAAAAATCATCGACATTCAAACACATTTGATACAAGAATGTCAGAATCTCTCAAACAGCCAAATCAGATGGTTTGGCACCAGTTCGAGATACCAAGGAAACAGGTTATTTGATAGTGCAATCAAACTGGTCTGCTTGTTGACGCAGCAACAAGCACATTATACATTACAAGGTGATTTCTGGGCAGAAGGAAAAAAAAGGTAACTCAAAGTTTGCAGAAGCTCTTTCACATTGCCAGATGGATGAGGGGCTGTATAACACTAGATATTGGAGCATAATCACGTCAACTTTGAAAGCCCAAGAAGCACAGTGGCAGATGAGATTTGCACCTTGAGATCAGCAATATCAACATCATGGCCTCCTTCAACCAGGCCCCATTTGTCTACCTGAAGGAATAAACAACGATACAGCAAATTGAGGATTGAGAACTCAGCAGTGACGAATCAGACTAACTGATGCAAGAACAAATGCTTCTAGGAACCTGTAAATCCTCTTCTAGCCTTATCAACTCGATGGCTTCCTCAATTCCTAACCTCCCACGAAAAATTCCAAGAGGAATAACCAAAGAATGTGCCGAGGCAGCCATAGCATCAATTGCAGTTAATTCAAAGTCATTTGTTTCCTTCAGAACGTGTTCAATAGCCTTAGCAAGACAATCATCCTGCTTGCCCCCAAAAAAGCTGGTATACACTACCGGTTTAAAGCCGAATTCTGATTGCACCCAATCCAGAATAGGGTCTATTTTTTCCTTTTGTCTTTCTGCAAATCATAAATCAGAAATTGGAAATAGAAGTTAGCAAGATCATTAGACCAAAGTGTAAGCTGCACAACACACATCCTATCCCGAATGAACTGAAGCATTTCCAAAAACATTCAAGAAGAAACGCCAGTAACTTGCTAAAGTTTGCAGAATAACCATACAAAATAAGTAATAGTTCGCCTGCATAAGTCAAGATTTTTCTCTAAGCAGCGGTCTATTGGTGTCCATTTGTGAGTTCCATATACACTGTACCAGTACAGGAATGGACTAGCGTGCACGTAAAACTGCTACATTTATGTATACATTCAAATACATGCTAAAATGAAAACCAATAAACAAAATTCAGATATATTGAAGAACATGCTAAAATGTTATGTTCATGCAGATATCCTTCCAAAGGAATATCTCTCTCCCTCCCTCCTATCATAAATTCTAAAACATGCTAAATGTTATTTTCATGCATATATCATTTAAAAAGAACAATTAAGGCCAATTCAGTCTAATAGACCAGTCAATCCTAGCCAAGCAGTGTATCAGGAATAGGTCTTGCCAGATCATACTTCTCAGTTCCACATGCTATCTGATACACTGATGTAAAAAATCAAGCATAAGCAAACTAATATGGGAATGTTTAAAATTAAATGACACACTAAAACTTTGAGCGTGGATCAATTGAGTACATGGAACAAGGGAATGTAAAACATTACTCATTCTGAGACATGGCAAGAGAGGGATAAGTTCTTCATATTGGCTAGTCAGAACCAGGTACATTTTCTCGGAACAACGAACACACACATCTTTACATATATATAGAGAACCCAAAATGCAAGGCTCCCACCAATGCTATGGGGGGAGAGAGAGAGAGAGAGAGAGAGAGAGAGAGAGAGTGTATACATATATGTGTATATATATGTATGTATGTATATACATATGTATATACATATACATACACACACACACACACACACACACACACACACACACATATATATATATATATATATATGTATATGCTCACAGATACGTGCTAGCATCTATTGAATGTGTATATATCCTCTTTATCTTCCTCTGTTTCCTTTTAGGCTTTTGGGAATGTTAATATTTTCATTCCAAATGGCAAAATCCATGTTCTGAATCATATGATTCACTCATTACCCTGCTGATGCTTTGTGGAAAATAGGACTCGAGCAAATCATTAGTAACATCTAATGAACTAATTTATATATGCCTCAACTTTGAATTCAAAAGAAATGGCAGCTCAGGTAACCAAGTAAAAAGCAAGATGACCATAAAATTAAAGCAAATGGCAGGTCAGGTAAGCATGTAAAGAGAAGGTAAAACTTACCATGGACTCCTATTGTCAAATCACTGTCACTTGGGGATCGGCAAAAAACCAAATCTTGATGAAACTTTGACATCAAATTTTCAAAAATCTTTGCACGAGTAAGTGGAACCCTTTCCAGTGCAGTGCATGCAAGCTTCATGAGTGGCATTGTGAAAGGTCGGATTCCATCTGTTTGCTACAAAAATGGAGAACTTACTATAACAGGTTATGTACATTCCAAGGAACATGAAGAAGAATAATTATGAATTTACTGAAATGGCAGATCATAAATCACAGAGCATGTGCACAAATTCATAATGACTAAACAAGAACATTTAAATTTCTAAAATTTCATTGAATTTGAAAGGAATAATTTATTCAAGAATAGCTTCAGCAATATATTTACTGAAACTAAATCTTACATGAAGAAAATCAGAGTAGATCTCACAAACTACAAGAAAAAATATGACATCCAATCATTTTTATCTAATATGGCTAGATCTATCACCTCTGATGTAGGGAAAAGGTAAATCTGTAACACACTGTCAGTGCCTCTCCCCCTTGAACATAAGCCATAATACTTTTCTTTTCTTTTTTCCTTTGTATGACATCAGAACAGATGCACAACATGAACCATGAAAATAGGTTCACATTAATTGATCAGAACTACTAGATTAGCTATATTATTTTCAATCAAGAGACACAGTGACAGGTGACAAAAGATTTCCTGTAGCCAACCTCAAGTAGTTGGGACCTTTCCACAGGATGTTCTATAATAGAACAATTGATCACATGAAGAGGAGGATATCCATCATTCCAGATAACAACTAAACGATGAGGAGATCCTTAAGAAATATCTGAATTAAACTAATTAACGTAATTCGATGGCAACCCAGATAACCATAATTCTAGCACCTACAAAGGAGATCCTTAAGACATAACTGAATTAGATTAATTAGCGATAATTCGATGATCCAGACAGCAAGCCGCACCAAAGGATAGAGAATATTAGAATTAAATGAAACATTTTTTTCTGGGTAAATACGTCAAAGAGGCGGACCTGGCAGTCCCACTCGGCGGCAATGGCTTTGGCAAGCGCAAGGCTCTGGAGCTTGAGCGGCCTCTTGGAGGGGGTCTTGAGGGTCCTGTAATCGAGCATCACCGTCCACCCGTTCCCGTCATCGGCCATGCGGGTGGTGACCTCTTTGTAGAAGCGCTTTCCGACGATGGACCCCGTCATGAACGACATAGGCATTGTCACCGACGTCTGGTCCCGGGTGGCCGCCGTCGATCCCGGCCGCTTCACGTAGATAGTCTCGTCCATCTCCGCCGCGGCAGCCGAATCATCTGCGTTCGAAGAGGCGGCGGCGGTGGCAAGGCAGCGGTGGGCGGGGGCAGAGGTCGGAGGTCGCCGGATGGCGAACAGAGGGTTGAGGGACCTCAACAATCGACTCAACAGGGAAGTCATCGTCGATCAGTGCCTGGTGAGAGTCTCGACGACTCCGATCCAGAGGAAACTAGGGTTTCTTTGAGCGGCGTTTCGGTCGTCGTCGAGACGGACATTAATGGGCCGGATGATGATGGGCAATGGAACCGAACTCGAACCCGAATCCGTTCGAAGCAAGCGAACTAAAAAATTTTCAAGCAAAATTGAATATATATATATATATATATATATATATATATATATATTTGTATATATATATATATATATATATATATTTGTATATATATATATATATATATATATATATATTTGTATATATATATATATATATATATATATATATATATATATATATAT